GCACTGAGTTGCCGCCATGTGATTGGCTGATTAGAAATTAAGTGTTAACGAGCAGTTGGACAGGTGTACCTAATAAAGTGGCCGGTGAGTGTATATAGCTGAGAGTCATTCACAACACATGCTCATACAAGATCTTTAAAAGTGCAGTTTGCATAATGCATCGCTTTATAGGAATGTCATCTTCATTTATTATTTTATATTAACTGTTGCAGTTTTACTTTGTGGAGCACTTTTTTGCAAATGTGCATTTCATGTAAAGTTCGCTTGAAATGCATTTTCTTTTTTTGCTTTTTTAAAGGGGTAAAATCATGTAAAATCAACTTTTTTGAGTTTTATATCATGTTATAATGTTATACTCTCATAAAAAACATGCCCAAAGCCTTGCTTTGACTCATTRATGCATGTTTGAGAAATCCTGCAGCGTTTTTAGGAAGCCATGCTGAGGAGCAAAACGACAGGTGGGGACCAGAGACAACTTTTGGGACCAGAAACGCCCCTGGGACGTGTCTTTAAGCCGAACTTCCTCATGGCAGAACGCACCCCTCCCCCTCCCCACACACCCCACCCATGACTCCTGCAGGCTCTCGGGTCAAAGTGAAAGTGAAACCTAACTGTCTACTGAGCTTTCAATATTAGTTCTCACTCTGTGAAGCTCTTTTCAGATTAAAAATACCTTTGAGGAAATGGATTTTCAGATGCCAAGTAAACTGCATCATAGCGCACGAGCCCCCCAAACGGGACGGAACAGAAGCAGAAGGAGGTTCTTAAAGAGACAGAGGCCAATTTCAAGGCGTTTAGAAGAGGAAGTGATGAGAAGATAGGTTTATTTTCTGTTTAAACATAAAAACAGCAATTTAATAACAACTAAAGGTGACATAGATACTTTATTATGGTATAGTATTTAAATATGTGCCTGAGAAACACATAATATTGCCCCTTTAAGATTTAGATCAAAACCTATTTATTTATTGCATAAAGATAGAAAACCATAAAGGATTAAAACCCATCAGCCATCAAATTAAATTGTATTCTTTTGTCAAATAATGTAAAACCCACAATGGTGACAGAAAGAGCTTGAAGAAATAAAAACCTGTAAACTAACTACTGAAAATCGGGCGTTGCTTTTGAATCGTTGAACAAAACGATTTAAGAAAACAAAACCCTAGAAGATGTTGTGCAGCTTGTATTGTGTTTTGTTGGTAAAACTGTTTGATTTCTTTCAGGGGATCCTGACCTATTTCGCCCTTGGTCGTTTCCGTCGAGGTGTAAACGACGGCCCCGTTCCTGCCTACACCGAGCCGCCACCGGATCACCACACCCCCTACCCTCCGACCTACGCACCCACCTCCTACAACCCCACCACGTACACCCCAACCACCTACACCTACCCCAGCAACGTGCCCGAGCCGCACCATCAGCCTCCCTTCACCTCAAACCTCTCGCCGCAGGGAGACGACGGCTACCAGCCGCCGAAATACTGACAGAACAAGGAGGCGTGGTGCACGAGGTGGGGCTCCAGGTCATCTGCCGCAGCGACACCGAGATCCGTCGAACTGATGTGGTTTGGATTTGACCCTTTTTCAAAGAGGATCTGAGCCGTGCAAGTTCAAGTCTGAGACGACGGACGCAGCTGTTTACGTCGAGATGGTCTAAGATCAGATCTGAAGAGTTTTTTGACTTTAGACCTGTGTGCAACAGCAACGTTTACCTCATATGAGTTGATCCTGCAGGGGAAAGGTGACGTTTCATTAAAGAGAGCCAAAAGGAAAAAAAAATGAATGGATGAGGTTAATGTATTTCTCTTTCTTGAACCCCAAGAATGTGCATTTAAATATATAATTAATGTCATTTTCATGGCTGTGTGCTCTCCTAGATCATTTTTTGTTTTAGTTTTACAGTTCCTCACTCTTGAACATCACAAATATTTGAAGGAAGAACTAGTTTCAAAGCCAAAATGCCTTTAGTTGTTAACCACACAGTGCTAAAAATCTCATTTGAAGTGTCCTTTGGGGGTTTAGATGTTTTTGTGCTACAATAAATTTTTTTTGTTTGCTATCTGAACATATAAAATCAAGAAGAGCCTCATTTCTTCCGGTATGATCACAGTAACAGATTAGTGTTGGTAAAAAATGGTTTTCATGCACTGAACTGACCTCTAAACTTGCAGCTTTCAGATAAACAAACAAAAGGGAGATTTTCAATAATGCTGCACTTGTTGAACTGATTTATGAACAGTGACTTTTGTTAAATTTACTTTTTGGTATTTCTGATAGATTATTAACAGTTTACAAGATTAAATCAAGAAACTTTCATCTTAGTTTACGTTAGTTTAATTTTGTTTTATTTGCTTTTGGCCTGATGGGAGACATTTTTGCAGTACTGGCTGTAACCAGGCAAAAATCAAAAAGATGACCTGAGATCAGTTTTTGCTTTATTGTTTTGGTGATTATTTGTACTTTTGACAAACAACTAGCTTTTAGCAAGTTATAAGTTAATAAGTATACCCGAGTATAAATTGAAGTATATCAAGTACACTAGGCATCATGTACTTGTAGTGTACTAGAAAATATACTGATTTAATACTCGTTCGGATAAATCAGGACATGGATAGTTTATAAAAAGTATACTTTAAGTATACTTTTATGCCTTTTTAAGTTTCTAAACTTACCAAAAAGAAGTATACTTTAAGTGCATGGCATTAATTATACTAATCGTATATAAAAGTGTATTTCCCTAAGTATACTTTTATTTACCATGTACACTGATATAAGTATACTAGCAGTTTACTAACAAATCTACTTTTAGAACCAAAATGGTCCACAATAAGTTTAAAAAAAAGTATACTCATAAGTATACTGAAAGAAATCTAAGTATATTTTAGTTTAATGTTGAAATATACTACAAATAAACCAGTCTGTGTGAAAATGTACTTTCATTGTACTACTACGATTTATCCTGGCCAAAAGTTTAAACATTTGTAGACTAAGTATACTTAAACCTTTAGTACAAGCCAAGCATTGTGTAAGATAAACTTGTATATCTCAGATAAGTACTTAAAAAAAGAAACTGGAAGTATACTTTTATTTTAAAGTTTAAAATTAGTACACCAAAATTATGCATGCATATGTGTGTGCTAAAGGCAGCAACTGCAGAAAAATGCATTTGGTTTATTTTTTGCTTCAAAGCAATGGGGATTGTTTTTAATTTTTGGGAGGAAAGGTGAACTGAAAGTAAATTGTGCCACATTTAAATCTTGAAGTAATATTTAGGTTGATCAGAAGCATTTATTGCCACTCCTTGTTTTCAGCCTCTGAAACATCACTTCTGAAAGTGATGAGTTAAAACAGCTCCAGATATTCACCCGTCAGTTCCTTTAAAAGTGCTGCTGCTGTTTGTTGCACCATCTGTATGTTACTGGCTTTAAGCTGAGTTCCTACAGGTTTTCATGTTTAACCCTCCTGCTGCCCTGGGGGTTATTTTGACCCACAGGGCAGCAGGATGTTATAAAACATTTCTGCAGTGCTATTTCTTTATATAGACCCCAAATGAAGGATTTCAATGTGAAAAAGGATTTACAGCATGTTTACTTTAAAATACGGTTGGTTTGAAACTTTTGCACTGTTGATATTTTCTGCATAAAAAGCTAAAAGGCACTCTGGGATCACCTTTCTAAAAATAAATCCAAGAGTAACAAAAAACTTTTAAAGACTTAGAAAAAGTTTAAAGCAAATTCCAGACCATAGGAATCCATTTTAAAACTATTAGACTAAAACAGGGTTCCTACAGTTTAAGCCAAGTTAAATTTAAGACCTTTTAAGACTTTTTAATGCCAAGTGAAATTAAATTTAAGACCAATTTCATAATAAACACAAATGATAAAATATAAAAACTGTGGCAGAAACTCATAAACCAAAGTATTTTTGGTTGAAGTATTCAAATTTTGCTAATAATAGACCAATTGATTTTATCCATATCTAACTATAGCAGAAACGTTCTTAGTCAGTTTTAAACTTAATTTAATTTCTGTAAATCCTTTAACGACCCAAAATTTGGAGTTTTAGGACGCACAGTGGGGTTTTAACCCCAAAGTGCCTGTAACATCAATTATTTTTGTAAGAAAGGTGAATGCATATGTGGAAAGACATTAACACATTACAAAACAAATTTCACATTGCTGTTGTTGAGATATTTGCACGTGAAATAACAGGAAGTGATGTCATAGGGAATGTCTGCATGTGAATACTTAAGAGTAATTTTACCAATTATTTTAGTATTTGAGTTGAATTAGTCATCCTACTTTCAATGTGTTAACATTTTTAAGACCACTGAATGACTGATTTACCGGTAATAAGTTTTAAGGCTAATTAAGGCCTTATTTTTGGAGTGATGAATTCAATGCCTTAGATTTAAGAGATTTAATTTAAGTTTGATCTAATTTTATTTCATGAAGGTTTTTGCTTTAAAAGCAAAGGGTTTAATGAAGGAGCCTAATGAGAAAAAGAGCAATAAATTTAGGTTCTTTCCACTTCTCTGTTTTTCCAGAAAAACAGAAGTGAAATGACGTTTCGTCCTTTCAGCTTTGTGTCAGCAGTCATGTTTTTAAATAAAACAATTCACTGGAGGTTTCCTAATAGGACTGTTGCCTCATTCATGTGCTCTCGAACTACAGGCTTTTTTTTTAAAGCAAGCTGCTAGCTTTATGTGCGCTGTGACAACAGGATTTAATCCGGTTATTCTGAGGCTAAACGCCACAGTTTATGAAAAGGATTAGAAACTAAATAAAATGACAAAAACAATTTTTAACATCACAGAGTGAAGCGTCAGAATCTTTCAGTGAATGATAAAAAAACACGTTTAAACACAATTTAAAATCTCATTTGATGAGGCAGTAACTACAGGTTAAGATGTCAAAAAACACTACACTAAATAGCATTTAAAGCAACTTTTAGCTGCTTTGAAAGTCTTTCAGGTAAATAAAATGTCAAAAACTTATTACATTAACGGAAGGTTTCGTATTACCAAAACAAAACTAATCGCACACAAACATTTCAGCAGCAATCCCAGTTTTCTTCCTCTTCAGAGTTGGAGACGGGAAAAGAGTTTTCGGGGGAAATTGGCGTCCACGAGTTTTCCTGTCAGGTGTTGTGGCGTTTCGTTCCTGAGCGGAGATTTGTTCTGTTTTTCCACCAAACCTCCGTAACACTTTCTGCACACCGCCTGGTACTTGTCAGCGCCGCCAATCACCTCCACCTGTGACACAAGGGTTCAGCTTTTATAAAAATAAACTTTAGTTTAATCCACTTTATATTCTGTTCAATACACAGAGTAGAAGGGTGGGATGATTTATGTAGTCAAATTTTAGATGTGACAGATTTTATTTCAGTGTAAAGATCAAAAATTAATAATAAAGTAATTATGTTACAGGTATAGAGTCAACAAATGATCCATATTCAAAGCTTTTTTAGTGTTTGTTGTGATACAAGACTTTAAGTATTTGATTCCTGAGCTTCAGAACGCTCTTTGATCAACTTTCAGACCCTTTAGGTTTGCCTCCTCACCTCCTTCTCCGCTCCTATCCTCTTGGTGTATGCAGCGTCTTTATAACACTGCATGCAGACGGCGTGGAGCTTCACCACGCTCTCTGCCAGCGGAATAAGGTTCAGGATGTTTCCAAAAGGCTAGAAGAAAACACAAAGGATCAGATGCGGTCAAAGTGCTTTAGGGAAAAAAAATGTTTTAGAATCTTTTTGAACAAAGCTTCAATTTAATAAATTAAGATGGTCAATATTTGGTCAAGTTCTGAGAAAATCAAAACATTTTTCCATTTATCTTTGTGAATAGTTAGGTTCGGTTAAGAAATAGCTTTAAAACATGGAACAATGTGTGATGGCTAAAACGCATCAACACAGTAAAAACCAGAGTGTTAAAATGTCAGTGTTAAACTTTTCAGTTAATTGTTATTTTAACACTTTCTGAGTAAACTGACTTCCTGTGTTGGTGTTAATTCAGTGTTGATTTCCTTAGTGTCTCAACACTGGACAGTGTTAAATAAGCCCCGCCCACTGTTAAGTCTTATATAACACTTAACAGTGTTGTTATATAACACCATGCAGTGTTGAAAGAAGTATTCTGAAAAGCCCCGCCCTCTTCCACCTCATGTCAGACAGACCAGTATTATCAAGTAGAAATGATGTGTTTGCATGTTTATGATCATTAAAGTTCATGAGTGTAAAAAATTTGTTGTTCTAGTTATTTTTGTTGTTCAGGTTCATCAGTTGATCAAGTTTAAGTTTGTGTTACTGGTCATAAATCCACACCATGAGTGAGAGGTACTTCCTGGTGTGTGAAGGTCAACTCCTTTACACTTATCCTGAAACTACTGCGTGACGTTAATAAAACAATAAAAACTGTTGATCTTAACTCTAAAGTGTTAAACTTACACTTTAAAATTTGCTGTGTGATGACACCTCAAAGTGTCTGTTTTACACCCCTCTACACAACTAAAGAGCAAATAATCAACACAGTAGAGTCAAATCAACACTCAGGATGTATATGAACCCCCAGTGTTAACCATTAATAACTCAACGCAGTGTTGAAAAGCAAGTACGTTTTGTTAACACTGTACAGTGTTAGTCAGTGGTACGTTTTGTTAACACTGTACAGTGTTAGTCAGTGGTACGTTTTGTTAACACTGTACA